TACTTTAAAGAGGATAATAAGGGATATTGATTTTTAAAATAATATTAGAAGGGGTTACTTTTATAGGGGGTAAGTTTATCGTTTTAAGGGGGTAAATAGGGTTAAAAAATTATTTTTTTTTTTGGTACTTCTGATCTACTTTAGATTTATCCAATGCACAAAAATAACATATTTTAGCAGCATTTATCTTAATATAAAAAAAAAATAAGAGGTGGGGAGAAGTTCAACCTGGCGGTCTTTATGACACACAGTGATGCGTTGGTTGGATAAAAGAAACGCACAAATCAACTTGGACTACTAGATCGTGCCTACACATCTACTTTAAAGAAAACTGAAACTAGAAAAAAAAAATTTGTAACAAGACAAAAACAGTTGAACACACATAAAAATGTTGAGAAAGACATTGATAAACAAATTACCGATGAAAATTTTTATGAATCTGAGGATAATATCATATTTGATGAATCTAATAATGAATATGACAAGTTATACTCTGATGTCGTAAAAAAATGTAATTAAAATAGATTTCATTACAATGAACTAGCAATCATAGCAGATCGTTATCTTGTCAATTGCAGAACAACTGTTGCTATTGTCAATGCTGCTCTAAAAGACATTGGTATACTAAATGAATTAAATATGCTTGATAGGAAAAAAGTAGAAAGAGAAAGACTTCGTGTTGGACAAAAAAATGTAAATGAGAGAAAATACGAAAACTTGGAATTACAGTGTATTGGTTTTAGTGCAAGAAAAGACAATACAATAACAACTGCATCGATAATTAAAGAAGAACATATAACAATTGTTAGAGAACCAAGCAGCAGCTATATAGATCATCTAACACCTGATAATGTAACTTCTTGCTGCATTGCTAATGAAATTCTCCATTTAATATTTGAAACTGGCAGCAGCGGTTCTTTAAATGCTCTCTTATGTGATGAAACTGTAGTAAATACTGGAAAATTTGGAGGGGTGATAAAATTAATTGAAACAGAACTCGAAAGACCAATGCAGTGGCTCATTTGTCAACTACATTTAAATGAACTTCTCTTTAAACATGTATTTTAGTTGGTTGATCAAAAAACTTCTGGCCCTGGATTATTTAAAGGAGAAATTGGTAAAAAAATAACAGAGGATTTAACTAATTTCGCAGTTGTTCCTTTCAAAAAAATCAATGCTTCTTTTCATTTAATTCCAGATAATATCTTTAGTGAATTAAGTTCAAATCAAAAATATATTTAGAGCATCTGTTTATCTATTCAATCAGGAGATGTTTCAAATGAAATATCTAAAAATTCTTCTGGAAGCATTCATCATCCCCTGTGGCTCACAAGAGCAAATTGTATTCTACGCTTATACATTTCTACAGAAAAGCAACAAAAGAACTTATTGATTTGGTTACAGTAATAATGCAATGCTATGCACCAGGATGGCTCCAAATCAAATCAAATTATTTGGCAATCAATGGCGCTCAAAATTTTTGGTAGCTTGCTCAATTAATTAAAAATGCAGTTATTGATGTAAAATACAAGGAGGTAATGGAGCAAGTTTTGAAGCAAAACTCGTATTTTTCTAACCCAGAGAATATTTTATTGGCGATGATAAGTGATGAAAAAAAACAAGTTAGAACTACAGCCGTTTAAAAGATATTTAAATCCAGGAATACTAGCGAATCCAAAAAACATTTTAAACTTCCTACAACATTAAATCTTGGAGCCAAAGATTACTTTAAATTAATAAATTGGGACATCGAAGAAGTTTATTCGCCACCTTTACTGAATGATTATTCAAACAAAGACATTATGAAAGCCAATGACAGTCCATTAACTATCCCAAAGTATTCTTGTCATAGTCAGAATATGGAGAGAATAGTTGGAGTAGTCACAAAGCATCAGAAAATAGATATGGCTGTGAAAAACGTTACAAATTTGTAATAAATCTGTTGGAATCCAGGGGAAAAAATGCCTAAATTTGATTGGAAAGCGCAATGGAAATAAGACATTTATAAAAATATACATTTTTTTATAGCCTATATAAATTTTTCATTCTTTTTTTTTTTTTTTTTCTAAAAGTTTTGTTTCTTTGCTTAAAAAAGGTAATATATGAGCAGAAAGCATTTTAAAGCTTATATCCCCCTATTTAACACCTTGTATCCATTTTTCTAATAAAATATCTAAACAGTATTTTAGTAGAACATTTTTGTGGCATATCTAAATCATCAAAAATATACAAAATAAAATAAAACAATTATAAAATAACTATATTTAAAAGTTGCTTATACCCTCTTTTTCTCTAAAGTGCCTAAAAATCCGACTTTGTGTGCAACCCATACGGAGGCTAGCACAGACCTAAAAATTGGTATGCATGCTTTACGCATATATAGGAACCCCATACAATATTACGCATATATAGGAACCCCATACAATAAAAAAATTGACCCGCTCTAATGTACATTTTATAATTAAAAGTCACACACAATCGAAACTATAAAGGTGAGGCTTAATAAAATGTTCACGTTATGAACATTTTATTCTTTGGTAAACATTAACCTAAGTGTATAAAAAAAATGTTTTGATAAATTATTTTTAAATCATTTACATAAAGTTTTAAAAATAAATAAAATTACTAAGTAGCTAACTGAAAAAATTTTGTGACAAAAAAAATTGCAGTGATTTAGAAGCAAACTTATTAACTTTGTTGTTGGGGTTGCAGCAATTATACAAGTAATGTCAATAGGCACAGCATCGAGAAGGTAGGGTATTTCAACTTAAAGGCAACTTGAACGTCTATACACCATAAACTTTAGCAGACTAAAATAAAAATTCAGAGCAAGTCCTTGACTATATTAACTTATGCCCGGCTACTTTAAGTGCGCTTTTTGGATATTTTTACTCCTTTCAATATTTCGCTGTTTCCAAGCAGGAATTTGGTTATAAAAAACGTCTTTTGTACGTTCGAAAGACGTCTTTTTAAAGCCAAATACTATTTTCTATTTTCGGTAGTGATTACTAGTGCTTCTAATATACACAGCGCTAAATAATTATTTTAATTCTAGTTGCTACTTAGTTTAACTTTTAAGCTTGACTACAGTTACTAATAATTTTTCTGCGAATGTTTCTTAATATTTCTAGAGAACAACAAGGGTTAAGGTTACGACTCAAGTGAAGCGTTATAGAAAGAAAGCGCGGAAGTTCAAGCCTCCTCAGGGGTCGTCCATAAAGTACCTAAGTCAAAAATTCTTAAACTTTACACCCCTCCCCCCTGTTACCATGCGTACTTTTAAGTCCCCACCCCCCTTATAAAGTACGTACGTTTTTCATATACCCCTCCTTTTTTTTTTTTTTTAGTTAAAAAATTTATTGAAATAAAAAAAGGTACCCTAGATAAAAGCCTCCACCTCGATGTAGTTAAGGCACTTTTAAAATATTATAGCGTCTGCATGATATTTTGTTGACTACGACATATTTCCGTTAAATGGTCTGGTCTGTGAATTATAAAAAGACGAAAAGTATTAAAATGACAAATTTTGCGGAATCATAAAATATAAATGTTTGAAGCGGAAAAACCCAGACCGAAGATTCTTATTTTTTTAAAAAAATTATCTTAAAATCACAATCGCTCGTTCAAATTTGAATAAGATTTTATATTAATACGTTTTTAAGGTAAAATGAACATTTTAGTTTAAGAATATGATCTGTTCTGATCGTTTATTGGTAATTTTCCATTATTACAAGCTCTTTCTTGGTCGGAATTCTAGTATTTTTTGTGAAAATTGATAGAAATATTGTATTTTGACAACTATATATATTTAATATGTCAGAACCGTTTAGAACTAGGATCAGTTGTAAATTAACAAACTTTTTCAAAAAATTTTAACTAAATTCATGTTAATGCTGATGAGTGGAATTGATCTAAAGACTCCAGAATAGTGTTCTTTAGATTCACTATTATGGGTAGTAAAAAGGTTTCGAAAATTATATATAAAAAAGAAAAGTTTCTTTAAATATTTTAAAAACCCTAAGTAAAAAAAAATTATGACATTTAAACATCTTGTTTGGACATAATATGCTGACAAAACCATGCTAATTCCAAATAAAAGTATTCGAATATTTTGTAAATCGCCTTAACTACACCGAGACCTATTTTAATTTCATAAATTTTTACCTCTTCCACTTTATTTATTTTAATAAATTTTAATATTTAAAAAAAAAATAGAGGGGGGAGGTATATGAAATCTTTAAAAAACGAGTCTTACCCGAGAAGAGTAATATTAAAAACAAAGTTTAAAACCTAGTGCCGAGTGTAGGCTACCCATACCGCGTAATTAGAGGGGGTGGGGTGTTGCAGTAAATTTTGTGCCCTTTTGGTATTTTAAGGAGCTTTTTATTTTAGCTAAACTAAGCAGTATAATTTGGAAGATTTTGCGAAGATGGGGGGGCGGGTCGACGTTTAAGGGCACTTTAACAGTTTGTGCAAACTCTAAACTTAAGTATACCTACGTAAAATAAGACCTTATAAAAATTGAGATGGTGGAGACTTGTGAACAATTAGCTCGGAAACGCTTGCCTCCCTGCTCAAACGTTAGGACACTGTAGTAAAATTTTCTAACTTAACAATCTAAAACTAAATTCAAATTGATCGACAGAATTAAAATCGTGTTGAAAAATATTGCTAATTACAAGTGTTCAACCCCTCATTTTTTTGTTTTTGTTAGGGAAGGGGGAGGATTTAACTTATCTATTGACTAGCTGGTTAGTTGTGTTAAATCAGAAAGTCAAAGTACGTATTTTTACTTTGAACCCCCCCCCATACGCTTTCGTAAGCTTTTTGAAGACCTCCCCCTTCCCCCTTATGAGCGTACGTACTTTATGGACGACCCCTAACTGATGATGGTATACGGCCAGTGCCATACGAATTAAGCTAAAAAAACATTAATATTTACTTTACCGAATTTTAATTTTAAATAACTTGGATATTAAATATTTAAAACAACGATGAAATCGAAAAAAAAACCTGTCATCTTTTAATTAAAATGAAAAAAAAAAATTTAAAACTTGTCAGCTGATTTTGCTGTATGGCTACCGTTTCCGTTGCTGCTGTTTGGTCAGTGACTCGTGAGGGCAGGGTCGTCATCCCCTGTAAATTCACTACCCAAATTTTTTCATCATCATCATATTATCATCATCATCATCATTGTGAACAGTCGTAATAAGTAGTGTAAGTCATTGTGTTTAACAGTCAACTTCATGCTAAAGCAGAAGAGCTCGCTTAGGGCAGGGTCGCCAATCCTGAGTAAATTAAAATACTTGCTACCCATAAAACAATAAAAAACGTTTTTCTTCAAAAAGAACGGAGCTATTCTAAACACTAAGAAGATTATTAGCTTTAGGTTTGCGTCCTGGCCATGCTTCTTTCATATACTTCTTTCTTGTAGGCTCCTGTGGACCTTCCTCAATTATTTCAGCTCTTATAATTGTTTTTGTAAGTGCTGGCAATATTGGACGCATAACATCAGGACTTTCCACATCAGGAGCTGATGTTATTTTAGGGGTCATCAAGGTGGTAGCTGAACTTGCAGGTTCTAATATAGACGAGTCATTATATAAGTTGTTGACTTGAAAATCTTGTCTTACTTTATTTGAACCTATCTCAGTACTTCGTCCTAAAATTTGTTTGTTAATCTAAAAACAAAATATTTGTTTTATTTGAATACTATTTCATTGTTGTAACACTATATGCTTAGCAAACTAATTAATTACCTTATTGGGAGCAATAATTTCAGTTGATATAAGATTACGAAATCTTCCTACAGTGGGATCAATATCCTCTATATAAAAAAAGAAAAAGTTAAAACTAAATTTTTTTGCAAAAGGACATAAAAATATTTGCATTAAAGAATAAGAAAAAATACCTGGGTTAATTATTTCATCTTCAGTAGTAAATGTCACATTGCAACTTTTTTTTCGCTTTCTCTTTAAAGGGTTTACAATACTTCCTTCATCGATTGGCAAAATGGTAACCCGTCGATTGTGTGCTGTGTTATATTCTGTCAAATCCTGAAGAAAGTGATGGCTCCCAATAAATGTATGTTACGAGTATATCATCCTATGAAAAATTATTTATGTGTGTGATATATATGACTTGAACTTTAGATGTTCAGAGATATTTTAGTAAGCCGAAAAATTGCTGGATATGATCTTAAACACAAAAGAAAAAAATTCTTACATTTAAATCATTCTCAGCTTCAGGTAACCCTAACAAACTGAGATTAGTAGTCTCATTTTCATCAACTCCATTAATGCTTGAATTTAGAGAATTATCCATGATTCCTGTAGCTAGTTTCTCTCGCAGCGCCCAAGTTCTTGTAGATGCACCAAAGTGAAAGTTCTCATCAACAGGTAACTGCATTGGACAGTTTGGTTCAAGTCTTGTATTCCCCAAAAATGTGCCGTGAGCTATTGAAAAAAAAAAAATATTTATATAAATAATTTCTAAAATTGATTCTTATTTAAAAGTCAATTATTATAAACAAATTTTGAGAAAAAAAGCAAATACAATTAGATGATAAGAAAATAACTCACTGCTGCCTAAGTCTATTAAAAACATTCTTTGCAAAGGCTTATGGTAAACCATAACAGCATGAATGCGAGAGCATGATGTATGATCCACTGTGAAATCAATATACTCCTTTTGACGTCCAAAAAAGAAATGAGTTTTTCCATCAACAATAAACTTCTGTAAAAAGTAAACTGATTATTAAAACAGCAGTTTTTTAAAGCTGGAAAAATTATTATAAATATTGCAATAAATTAAATTACCTCTATTAGCTTTCCATCTTTGCTAACATCTAAATGCATTCCAGGAGGAGGCTTTCCTGCCCTAAACATTAATTGGCTATGATTAATTATAGAAAAAAAATTATTTTATAAATATGAATAGAGTGAATAGCATCTACAACCAGACCTAAAGTTTTGAAAAAGTTGATGTAACAAAATTTTTAGGTTAGATATGTACAATTCTATCCATACAACTAATTTAAACAATAAAAACAAATAGATTTTATAAAAATTAGCCTGATTTTTAAAATTAGCATAACTTAGGCCAGAAAGAATAAAACCAAAAAATTTTTAAATTTCATTACTTCAAGACTTTTATAAATATCTATTATTCAAAAGTATATACTTTTTAACAATAAGTGATTGAAGTGGGATATAAGGTTAACTTGATATAACCACATTATTTAGCATGCTAAAGATAATATAAAAGTTTAACTTTATCTACACTTGTTCAAACCTTATTTGGTAAAATATCAACTCAATTTACTTTTCTATTTTTGAAATAGTGGAATAAGTAATTAGGATCTATTTTCCTCACTGAGCTTATCTTTTGAGGTCTTTTGACTAAACACCTTAACCCTAGATTAACCTCCTTAAATCTAGATGGTAAGTGTTAAATAACCAAACTTTAAAATCAAAAATAAACGCAAATTAGATAAAGGCAACTTTTTTATTCCACAAATGTAATAGCATCCTTTACAAATCAATGTAAAAGGCGCTATGTAAATTAATAACAATGTGACCCTTTACAACACAATGTATATCTAATTTGTATTAAATGTCATTAATTTTATTTTTATGTTTGCAGAAAAAATTTTCAGAGCTTAATAGACCCACTTTTTAATTACAATTCATAAATTTATTAAACTTACACTCATATAAAGCAATTTACAACCCGCAATTACTTGCTGATTGTAGTTACAAAAAGTCTTTTGATTCCGAAAAAAAATAAAAAAAATTAGTAAGTTGTGGATTATTCATGGTGGCCACAAAAATTTAAAAGTTAAATTCTAGGACATTTCCAGGACATTTTGTTGCGTTTTCCAGGACATTTTATATCTTATTATATTATTTTATATATTATTATTAAATGAATATTATCAATTATCTTTATGTTATATTTTTTTCATATTGATTGAATTATAGAATAGAATATTATATTATTATATTATTATTACTCTCAATTTAAAATTAAATTCAAACCATTTATATAAAATAATTTTTCGCATAAAAAATTCAATATTACTTTAATATTATTAGTATTTTTTTAACTTGACTCAGAAAAAAAAAAAATTCCAGGACATTCAGGACATTTTTGAAAAAAAAAAGTAATTTTCCAGGACATTTGCAGGGTTAGGGGAGGGTGGCATTTTTTAATCAATTTTAATTAAAAACGGCTAAAATAAATCATCATTTTAATCACACGTGAACCAAATACAACTTCGCCAACCATTGAAAACACATTTTCATAAGTCTGAACTAAAAATTACTGTACCTAATTTAAGTTTAAGATGTTTTTAAGATTTTATCACAGGTAAGATAGTGATGCAATCATCGCAGCTATTAAATATGTATATTTATGACAACCATTAAATATTTATTTATCTATAACATATCCAAAACTCAACGATCTCCTAATTTATACCTATCTTTTTAGTATGTGCCTAAATAACCATTTTGATAAGATTAAGTCAAAGAAATGTTGTATGCGGTAAGTCTAGAAACTCTCAGAAATCTTAAGAACCAAAAACGTGTCTTTGAATATTTAGATTTGTTAATGATTGTGCAAAAATAAGGCGCAGATTTAAATGCCTTTATCAAAAGAAAAATAGGCTTTAAAAAGTAATTTTTAAATACTTCAGAAATAATAAAATGAAACATGAATGAAATAACCTTATTGAATAAAGAATACTACAACACCGTCTTGCAAAACTGTTAGACTTAAATATTCTTTTTTAAATATTAGTGGTGGGTCTTATTATAGCTAATTATAGTCTTGTTTAAAAGATCTTTCGTTTTAAAAATTCAAATTAAACATAACAAAATCTACAATCATTTAATAAACAAAAAAACGCAATTAACTTTACCATTTAGGAGGTTCAAAATTAGGCTTAACGGGAATTGGTGCTTGCACAGGTTTAAGCGACTTAACCTTTCTTTTGATTCTTGAAACATCAGCCATTTCATTTATACATCATTTCATACAGCGCGTTCGTATAATTTAGTTAAAGAACCTAAAAGCTTAGAGCCCAGTATTTTCATTTCTAGTCCTCTTACCACAAAACGGGTGTTTTTCGAAATAAAAACTTTTATGCATAATAATCTGTAGAAGTTGCTAAATAAAAATATCTTCAAAGTATTTTTTTTTTTTAGTTAATAACAGTATCAAACTTTAAAATATAAATCGTTAATAGTTTTGTTTGAATCTAGATTTAAAAAAATTTGGATTAGAAGTAAAAACAAACTTCCAGTTTTAACTGTTTAATAATATTCGTGTAAGTTTATCACAAGTACACTTTTTTTGAAGGTTAGCAAGATTGTAAAAGCGGCCCTAGAAAGTTTTAGCAAACGGAAAATGTGTAAATAATCGCTACTTACTTGATGACGTTTTTTGTTTTTTTCTAGTTTTTTAGGTGCTTTTTTTTTTATGTTTTCTTTTAGAAGTTTGGAGTAATCTTAAGGGGGTAATTTGTAAATGTTGTTGGTTTTGTCGGTAAATATTAAAATATTAGGGTTCGATTTAATTTTTGATGCGTCAGTCTTTAGTTGTTGTTGTGTTTTTTTTTAAATTGGCTTTAGACTTTCTTAAACTTTATTGATTTTACAAAGTAAAATAGTTCTGTCTCGAAGTTTTCTAGTGGTGGTGTTTTTGTTCATGTGGAAATATGTTTCCTAGGATATTCTTTTATAAAACTTTCTATTTTTTCAATTAACTATAGTTTGTAGTTTTATTTTGTATATTATATAGAATATATAATTATTATTGAAAAATATTCAATTTTTTAACGAGTAGTCAATTTTTTTAAAAACTTCAACTTAATTTATAACCCAAAAACAAGACACTTCCCAAAAGAAAAACAAGACACATTCCAAAAGAGAAAGGAATATAATTTGGTTAGTCCCACCCTACAATATAAGCGTCTCGACTAGGGTTGTTCGCCGAAAAACAAAACTTGCGAAAACTTCGCATCTTTATCTACCGTAATAGAATTGTTATTGCGGAAGTTGCACATGCAAAAATGCGCATTCCGTAACGCGCTATACGAAAATATAAATAAATAAAATTCCGTAATAAAGCATTGCGAAAGAAAACTTGCAAAACAAATCATTTCGTAAGAATACTTACGAAATAGTTCCTAACGGAAAAAGCATTCCGGAATGTGCAGTTACGAAAAAGACGCAAAAGATTTTATGTTACTATATATTTAAGATATTAACTGTTAACAGTTTAAATAATAAATAATAAAATTATAAATAATAATATATATATATATATATATATATATATATATATATATATATATATATATATATATATATATATATATATATGTATATACATATATATATACAGTAAAATCCCGTTAAGTTGGACTCTCAATGAACAGATAAACAGTATGCCTTTCTTTTTAAAAAGTATAAAGAGGATGTGTGATAAACAATTAAATACTTTATTATAAAGAACGAGAGATCTCTCTAAAGGTAAATGATATCAGAAAGAGTAAAAAGAGAAGAAATATATGTGAAACAGCGGGATGTGAACCTGGGTCTCCGCGGCCAAATGTCTTAACTGAATGAGCTATACGTTCATTCAACTAAGTGAATAGTAATATTTATTTACTATATAATTAAGAAACTATATAAAACAGAATTTACAGAAAGAGATACGTATGCAAATAGGATTCTATATATCAGGAAAATGAATAGTAATGTGAACCTTTAGTAGCTTACAATTAATATCTGGACTCGAAAACTAGTTACTTTTAATGGAACACAATAGGCTGTAGGAGCCTCAGGGAAATTATATTCAGAAATGATTATATTAGACTCAGAGTTAGCTAGAAATTATTACAAAGTGTTTAGGACAGATGTCTAGTACAAAAAGCACAAGATTTAAAGCAAAATGATTTATATTATTTGAAAAAGTTGTTTTACGTACGTTTCATCATAATTTAAGTAGAACTTAGTAAAGCAAGGGAAACGTGTAGAATTAAGCACAATGAACTCAATCTTAAAAGAATAACTAACAGAAGAGAGGTTGTCACTATTATGAAGATGACGAAAGATCTGTAATATAGAACATGGAGATCAAAAAATGCTATCTTAAGTAAAAAGAGTTTGATGAACAAAAGTTACAATGGCTGCGGGATGCGAACCCGGATCTCTGCGGCGAATTATCACGTATCTAACTGATTGAACTATACGATCTTATACTTAAATTTATATCTTATTAAAATTAAAAAATAATATTTTCTAAGATCTATACTTCGAAAAGCGTATTCAAACAGGACTCTACATACCTTTAAAATCTGCTAGAACTTTAGTAACGTGCACACTTTTAGAATTATTGAAACTAGCAGTAAGCAACCCGTAATACGCATTGTCAGTAAATAAAATTAAAAAAAAAAACCGCGTATAGAAAAGCCTAGAAACTACTTTAAAATAAAAAAAGCCTAGAAAATGACGTAACTCGACTAATATTAAATTAGCGTATTCATATTATCAGATAGGTATATTTTATCAGAAATATGCTTAAGCTAAAGCATATTTTTGAGCCTCTTTTTACTATTTGCTTAAGCATATTCAAACCTGTTTAAAAAATTTCATATGCTTTAAAAAAAAAACATGTATATTCCTACCCATCATTCTTATTTTTAATATACGTAATGAGTTCAAAAAACATCGTTATATATATTTATTATGGCACGTTTCGTAAGTTTATTTCCGTTAAGAATTCTTTCGTATGTTGTGGTCCGAAATACTTTCGTTTCGAAAGAAATTTTATTTTTTATCAATATTTCTAAAAATAAAACCATAAAAATTTAATATGTTATAATACTGAAAATAAAAATTCATTATAAACATTTTGGGATTTAAAGATGTTAATTTTTACAATTAAAATCAGTCTGGTAAACAAATTTTCTTTATAGACTTCAAAACGTCGTTTGGCGAAAATGTTTGTTTTGCAAGTGTGACTTCCGAAACCGCTACTTTCGTATGTTACAAAATAGTTTTGTTTCGTATGTCAACTTGCGAAATGCTAAATTTCGGAAGTGGCTTTTGCGAAATGAACATCGGCGATTTTAAAAGTTTTGTAACATTCGGTACGAAAAAATGTAATTCCTCGTTCTCAATCTCCCAATATTGGTCAAATCTTTTTTTTAATTAATAGATAACCGTTTTGAACATTCAAAAGCATTATATAAACCATTTAATAGTAACACCACCTAAGGTTGAGCAGCTGTAGCTAACCAATAAGGTTAGCTACAGCTGCTGAAAAAACATTTTAAAAATCATAAAAAGCCACAACAAAAAAATAAATTCAAAAAGCACAGTTACAAATTTCCCTTTTAATTGCTAACAAAAGAAATCTGCTCATTAAATAAATATTGTAGAGCGACAAATATAGTTTACAAATGCATAACATCTTTCCCATACACAACCAGGCCCGTCTTTAGGTTATCCTGGCTTCCCAGCGAAATAAGGGTTGAGGCCTTTCCAGAACCCCCTCCCCTTCCCAAAAAAAATTGTATCCGTTTTTCAACTCGATTTTTTTATATGCTAAAATATTGCTAATTAAAATTACTGCATTGTCTAAAAACGAACCAGTAAATGCTAGCGCTGAAAGGCATTTTTTTTTTGTCTACTGTTAGAATTGTAGCAATTTCCTTTTTTAAATACTTTTTTTTTTAAAAAAAAAAAAAGACTTTTCTCCGTTACAATTTGTAACAGCAGCAGAGAAAAACATCCTTAGAACAACATCGATGTTTGAGACTGGATTCAAGTTTCTTTGAATAAATAACCAGAAGTAAATTGAGATGATTTGTTTTTATTGGATTTACTGATATTAGTTTCCACTGAATTGGGAATAAAGTTCTTGTAATGCAGTTTTTTATTCAGAATATAAATGTCCGCATCGTTAAGGTAAATTTAAAAAAGTTCTTTAGCGCACGCTGTGACCACAACAGAATCCATATCTAAAAGGCGGACAAAAAATCCAAAACAAGAGAAGCAAGAGAAGCATAAGCTTGTCTTCACCTTTCAATATCAGTTACAAGTTGATCCATGGTGACCTGAAATTATAACCTCAGAAACCATTTTTCAAACCATGTCTTGAATAAATTTGAAACAAAATAAAGAATTAAAATGAAATAAACATAATAAAATAAATAATTAAATAAATAGTTAAATAATAAAATGAAAGAACCATATTTTAAGCAATATCACAGTGTAGTATATCTAAATGAATAAATACAAATGCAAAAGGTTTTTGATGTAATTTTGTTCAATTTGCTTTAAATTTACAAACCTTATAAATTTATAAATTCAAAAGGTTTATAAATGTAAAACAAGTAAAGAAAAACTACATCAAAAGCCTTTTATTTGTATTCATATATATATATATATATATATATATATATATATATATATATATATATATATATATATATATATATATATATATATATATATATATATATATATTGACACTTTTATTCATCTCCGATTTTAATAAAATTTTGTCAATATGTTGTTAAACATGTTTCATGAACATTGCCAAATTTTTAGATCAAAATGTTTGTTATTTCGAATTTTGTGGTACTTTTTCTAAGGCTTACCCAAACTTCAAAATCAGTCTGTAGCTAAAAACTGTATTTTTGGGGTCTAATATTTTTGTAATGAACTCATATACCAAACAGTTAGTCAAGAATAAAAGTATTTTAAAGTGAAAATAAAGTATCAGAGAGAATGGCTAAAGCAGCAAAAAAGTTGAATGCAAAAATTGGAATCTTAGCACTTCCAAAAAAATGTAGCAAAAAAATTTCCAAAACATCTTAAAAATTTTTTTTTTGAAATTTTACGAACACAAAGCTTCTAGCAGAATATGCCCAGGGAAAAAGGATTTTGTATATGTGCGCATTAGTGCTAAAAAAGTAAACATGCAAAAAAAATTACTGTTAGTTAATTTAAAGGAACTTTTTTTGGAGTATAAGAAAGAAAATGGAGCTGAAGTTGGATTTTC